TGCTCAGGAAGATCCGAGCCACTTCTGTGGGCTGGAAACGCAGCAAGGAGGAGTGAGAGGCGCTGGGATGAGGGTCACATCCAGTGCGTGTGCCTGGTATTTGCCTGCTGCCATGGTTGGGAGTTTGCTCTGGCCAGGGAGGAGAGTGGCAGGGTGGCACCGTGCCCAGGGCAGCTGGGGTCTGGCTTTGCGATGAGAGATGCGCTTGCTTCTGTGCAAAAGCAAACAGAAGAGAGTGTCAAAAAAGAGGATGGAAAGAGGTGAGTGACAAAAGCCCTCCGACTGTTGCAGCTCACATCAGAAGGACGGGACGGTTTACTTTAACCAGTCACAGTTTGGGGCTCTTTGCCTTGAACTGGAGCTTGCCAGGTGAAATGTCACTCCCCAAAGTGCCATTTTGCAGTTAAAAAGGAAGGAAAAGCAATCTCGTGACGATGTGGTGGGTGAGGCAGGTGCTGAGTTGGGGGGAAGAGCGATGCCTGCCCTGGATTTAGCCCCAGATCCTTTCCCCGTGCACAGGTCCTGGCCTGCCAAGGCATCTGCAGCCCCCGTGTCATGAGTGGAGACGCCTGCCATGAAGGGAACAAATCTCCTTCCTTTACACTTGCTATTGCTGCTGGGAGACCTGGTCCAACTCTGCTACACGCACGGCACAGCCACGCGACCGCACGGGTGCTGGAAGCTGGGCTAAACCAGGTCCCAGGCTACAGTCCAGCTGGCAATAAAACGACCATCAGGAGCCGTTTCCTGATGGCTCCAGCCCAAAGAAGAGTGCTGAGTGAGCAGAGACGCATGGACATGTTTCCAGGTAGCTGAGACCTCCGACAGCCCTGTGGGAGCCCACCTAGAGCTAAGCCTCCAATGGGAGGGCAAAGCCAGCCCGGGCAGCTCCCCCAGAGCTGACAGGGCTTTCGTCCTGCCCGAGGTGCTCCGAGCTGAGCTGTGTCCATTGGGACAGTGCCTGTCACCGGCGGTCAGACCCTGGTCACGCAGGGGTGCTGCCTGGCAAACGCAAGGCAGGAGGGAATGCCCTGAGCAGATAGCACCCTGCCCACGAAATGGCACGACCACCTCCGCTATCCATTCTGATTAAATTAGAGCCAAAGTAAAGCCCTAATTCTTCTGATTAAAGCTTAGAAGTTAAGCTCTTCGGGCAGGATGCGTGCCTTGCCCTGTGCTCTCCTAAACCACTTTGTCCACTCGATGACAAGACACTCATAATATACTCCTATATGTTTCTTCTCAGCCATGTGTGATTCCCGGTCCATGGGGTGTATGATGTTCCTGGGACATCCCACCACTTCTGTCTGAATAGTGGTATTTATATGTGGTCAACTGGCTATTTTTGGAAGCGGGGAAGTAGGAGGAACTGCTCCAAGCAGAGCAGAGGTCCAGGTCTGCCAGGGTTCAGCCTTTAGATGGCTTGGGCTTTTCCCAGAGGAAATGCCCTGGGAGAAACGCCCCAGCGCAGGCATCGGTTGGGGTGTTACCCAAATGCCCTCTTACATCAAGTGCTCTACAAGCATGGGATCAGCCCGCAGTCACAGCCCTGCAGGGCATGGGTAAAAGGCAACTAAGGCTACAGTGATGAGTTCAGGTATTAGGGACAGACGCAGATTTCGTTGTCACTGTTTTAGCCTCAATGAATAGGTGTTTTACCCCAGGGTAGCTCTGTCATCAAGCCTCACTCGGGTGCTCTGTACCCTGCTTTTCTGCTCTGCAGGACCTTCTGAGGACGCGGGATAGGATCGTGCATGAGGCTCGCCTGCATTGCACTCGCCTTTAAGGAGGAGCTCCTGGCACCTGTTGGGAAGCCTGTCCCTGGGCGAGACCTGGGCTGTGGTTTCAACAGGGGCTGGAGGCACATCCTTAGGACCCTGTCCTCCACATATGTCCAGCTTCTTGCAGGGAAGCTGGGAAACTTCTGCTTCTAACATCTTGCATGGGGAAGCTCTCCCATCCCTCCTCCCCTGCACTCCGGGCAGAGGCACAGCCTGGTATTGTTTGTCACAGATCAATGCATTTACCCATGCGGAAAAATGTCATTACCACCAGGGCTCGGCTTTTCTTTCCCCTTGAACCACTCCCGCTGTGCTGGTGAGGGGCTGGCTAATTGCCTCTTTTCTCAGGTTGCCCCTGGGGATGGCTGCCCCGCAGCCCGCTGCGCAGCTCACGCCGGCCACAGTTCACGCCGGCACTCTCAGGTCTTCCCCCAGCCCGAGCATCTCCTTTGCCAAACAAATGAACACTCAGCTGCGGGTTGAGGCCATGGGGCTCTTCGTTACATCTCCCCTCGTGAGCTAAAGAAACAAAGCGGGGGTCACTTAAAAAGAGAGGGAAGGATGGGCCGTGGGCTCCCAGCTAGGAGGGGAGATGCAGGTAACCCGCTCGTGTGTGCTCCAGACCGTTATGGTGCTGGGATGGCCAACAAAAGCAAGGGGAAGTGGGGTAGGACACCCTCAGGGGTGGGTTCACTCCCGGGTGGGCTGCATCCGCCCCCAAAGGTGCTCTGCTGGGCTGGGCAGTGAGCACCCTAAAATGGGGCTGGTGCAGAGGTTTCCTGCCCTGGGCCGGGCAGGGTGACAAGAGCAGAGGGAAGGATATTCCCCGGGGTTTCTGCCGCCGCCGCCATGCGTTCACCTCCCAGGAGGCTGGAGGGCGCTTTGGCTGGCTAAGCACTGCCGGAGCTGCAAAGGAGGGTGAGCGGGGGGGATGCTGAAGGAAACCGACAACCAGGCACCTCTCCCTCAGTGAAACTGGAACCTTTCTAGGTACCAAGCAAAAGGAAACAAGAGCCTTTGCTGCCATTTCCAAATAGGAAGAAAACACGTTTATTCCACCTTCAAGACCCAGTGAAACTTCAAGCCGAAAGGGAAGACTGCAGACAATGATCCCACAAGGGAGAGGTTTATTTCTTCCTCTTAATCCTTTTCCTCCTCCTTTTTTTCCCAGAGTGTGACGATACCAATAATATAAGTCCTTATTTGAGGTGATTAAGTAACTGTTCATTGTCAGCAACATTCAATCTGTTCATTTTGGACAATATGTTCCCTTTTGGCATCAAGGTCCACCTTGACTGTGTTGGAGGAATCACATCAAAGCAAAGATCAGGAGCTGGTAGGAAAGCTGGAAAGTCCTTTGTGCTAAAATCTGTCCTTCATTATAAGAAAAATTAATCCCACAAGAAAATTTTACACATTTTACAACTAGTTGCTGCCAATGAAGGAGCTGAAGAGAAAAGAAGAGAAAAAGATGGCTCAGGAGTGACATTGGTGAGAGTAGGGCTGAGCTATGGCAGGAGAAGCATGCAGGGAGAAGTCCGTGCATGTTGAAAGCTGCTCTTTCTGAAAAGAAAATTGCAGAATGCAGTGTCAGAGTGCAGAAAATGCGTCCCTGACAGTGTGGAGGGAAGCTGGGCATGAAGAGCTCTCCTGCAGGGTCAAGTAAAATGGGTGAAATGAGCTACGGGAACCCTACGTCTTATATCTGTATTTCTAACACTAAATTACGTGATTGCCCGCACAGGTGAGATGGCCAAGCACATATGCCTCTACTTGTACAAGAAGGAGGATCCATGCACAGGGATATATTTGATGTTATTTTTCTGTTAGTTCTATAGATCCTTTAGATGGTCTGTTTGGAACAGGATTGCTTCAGTAAAGGGTCATTTGCTTGGGTAATGCCAGGTGGGCTCTGTGAGACAGCCACATGTCAGTCTCTTTAGCTAAAACACCAGACTATGTCTCTTGGAAGTCTAGAGCCCAAAAGGGGGGGGAGAGGCGCTGAAAAGTTCATTAATGAATTATCTGCTCTGTCTGAAAAGAAATGGAGACATTGCGTGGTGTGGGAAGCCGTGCTCCAAAATCTCCTGGCCTTTCTGCCAACACCATCTCCCCACTCAGCTGCAGAGAGGAGAGAGCTGGGAAAGCCCAGGGTGTCGCTTGTCACGGCAGACCCAGAGCTGCATTGCAAGCCCAGGCCGGTGCTGAGAACGGGACCCGGACCTCTTTGCACGGCTGAAACCTTTGAATTCATCTTCAAGCAGAGGCACCGCGTTTCGGCACTGGTTTGCATTCAGGGGAGCCAATCTAGAAAGCAGTATTAAAGGGAAGAGTGAGAGTAGCCGCCTGTGCGCGTGGTGTCCCCTGCTTTAATTAGGTTAGCTTCTTTCATGGCAAGTGCTGTCATACCGAGCTGAAAAATCAATACCATATGGCACAGCACTCAGATAGCAAACTTGGAGATTAATTAAAGGAGAAGTAATTCTGTCAGGTCTCATAGCATAGCGCCTGTGATTAGGCATGGCTGAACTGGTTTGGAAACACAAAGGCTAGGCAGCACCTTCACCCAGAGCTGAGCTGGACTCTCCACTACTTTGGGGTCAGAATAAAGTGAAATCCTCCTTTCTCTACCCCCAAAGGAGATGTATTAGAAATATTGAAATCTCTGTTTCATGTGTTTTCCTGGATTTCCCTGTGTCTGCAGCGCCAGCCACTTGCTTCCAGCTTGCTGCAGGTCAGGGTGGGGAGGTGGGAAGGGATGCATTTGTTCTGGGAGGCTTCTGCTTGGTGAGGTGCTGGGTATGAACGTGGAGAAGGTGCTGCCTGGGGACTCGCCATGCTTCTGGGCTGGGAGCTGGGGAAGCCATGGGAGGCGGCAGCAGAAAGAAGAAAATGCAGAGAGGTTCAGATGTTGTGACAATGAGCACTGGACAGGCACTTAGGAAAAGAGAGCGGTGGCTTGGAGGCGGGGCGGGTAGAGGTGTCTGGGAGGGAAAGAAGGCTGCGAGGTGGAGAAGAGGCGAGCCAGGGAAAAAATCAACCTTCAAGTCACCAGAGGAGCAGCCAGGTCTCACAAGGACCATTTGCAGCCCAGGCACTTCTCCATCACTCCTTCACCTCCTGGGACCAGTCGCTTCCAAACCAACCCAGTTGTCCCTGAGCTTTTCCAACACGCCTTGCAGTCGCAAGCTGTAGCTGTGGCTCTTGGTGGGGTGAGGCATGGCCTATTCCCCGGCACGTTGCTGGATATCTGAGGGCCAGCCAGGTCAGGAGACCGGAGTCCTGGAGCCAAGCCTAGATTTCCCATGGAAGCAACTGGTATGTCTGCCACAGACTGGGGTATTTTATGATGTTACACCCAGAGTGAGTGCAGAGCAGCAGCAATGCCCGTGGCACCTGGATAAGACGCCTGCGCTAGGATCCAGCAAGATTTGGCTCCCAGTTCTGCCCCCGTCCTGCTGCCTGGCCATGGGCAGGTCGCTTCCCTTCCCCCTGCCCGTTCCACATAGTGCACAGAGCAGCTGCCCATCACTGCTGACATCCTCCAGGCTAAAGCACGGCGAGGTCCCCCAAGCCTCCATATCTAGATGGCAAATGCTAAAACTGTGGATGTCAGCGGAGATATTCTGAAAGACTTTGCTGGGCTTTAACTTATTTTAACTTATTTTCACATCATGCCGTTATCTGATTGAAGGCCAAACATCTGAATGAAGAAACTGGCTGACAATCTTCCAGTCTGGAAGTTAACAGTCTAGGTTCAGTTCAAGTAAGGTCAGTAAAAATCTTCCAGCGGGTTTCATTGTCCTTGGGTCGAGACCTTCATGGGACCAAAAACTTCTCTGCTCTCCCAAAAGAAAAAGAAACCGGAGGGGTGAATACCTTTTTTCCTTTAAAAAAAAAAAAAAAAAAAGAAAGAAATCTGACTCCATCACTTGGGAAGTTTCATTTCCAGGGCGCGTACCAGAGTGGGACAATGTCTACCCCTCTTTTGGGAGATGCTGATTTAATGAATGTGGCAGCTATTGTGTGTGCTTGGGAGCCTCACAGCCGTTTTTCTTCTGCTGATATTTTCTTTTCTTTTCTGCTTTAATGAGTGTTTCTCTAATTGACTTGATGATTTCTGTTTAATTAGCACATTTTGGAGGAATGATCAAAAAATAATAAGATAAAGTAATCGGACAAGCATAGTGCGGAGGAATAATAGCTCCTTTGTGGGGCTAATTGGAGTGGACAGTCCATCGGCTAGTTTGGGGCTCCTCACAGTTGGATATTCCCAGCCTAGCTGTGCTGTGTGCCCAGGACTTGCAAGCACCCACATAGACCCAGCTCCAGTAGTCATTTCAATTAGCTTTAATGAGCACCGAGGAGAACCGAGTCTGGACCTGCCCTGTTTTGCTGCTGCCCAGATTTTGCAGAAGGCTGCGGAAGCGAGCAGAGTTTGCCCAGGACCTACGGCAGGCGCAGGGCCCCAGGTACTGCCAGGCAGAGCATCCCC